GGAATTTCTATAAACTAGAAAATCCCCGGCGATTTTTCGGTTGATTTTCTATAAACTAGAAATTAATTCAAGATTACAGTGTACGCCATACTATAATTGTTTCGTGCTATAACGAGCGGCTTACAAGTCCATCTATAAACATATTCCATAATAAAATGGTTTATGATTGTTTTTTGAATAATGCGAGCACACAGAAGATGGGAGTGAGAACTTTTCTTTCGGAAAAATGATTCTAGTAGAAACTCTTTTGCAAGACGTTTACCAAAGTCTACTCTAATCTTCATAGTAGAACAAAACTTACTCTAATAAAATTATTTAGTTATTGAAGTATTATCGAAGTCGCGCAAAAAAGTGCTGGCAGATTGAATATAGCGAAGTTTATGCACATTCTTAGAGTGTTGTGGATTTCACTAAATTGAGATTTTAGAACGCAGTAAAGGGATCTATACTTCTATTTTGAGTATTGGAAACTTTTTTCATAAATTGCTTTAATAATCGAAAATAATCCTTTAAATAGCTTACATATCGCATTGTTAAGTACTATTAAATTTCATTTCTTCATGTCATCATAATATTTTCAAAAAATGATACAGTATTACAAATTAAGTTACTTTCGACAACCATCCTATATAAGAAAATTTCAAAAAGATAATTGGAAAAAATAATGTGAAATAATTCTTATTAACGGACTGAATGAAGCACAACTGACATTCATTCGAACAAAAGAAAGTATTGCATGATGGACAACCCGGTTTTTCTCTGTTAAATTCTTAACGAAAAACGAGAAATAATGAAAGAGTTCTTATTGAAAAATATTCTCCTTCATAAATTGTAAATGACAGAAAGTTAATCAGCCAAACAATGATAAAAAGTTGTATTTTCAAGTATAGTTGTCGTAGTCAGTTAATAAATAATATTATAGACTATTAGTATTTTTTATAATCTCAATGGATGATTCTCTTATTTTACTAATATATCAATGCAAACCATTGTCATGTTCGAATATGTTAGAGAATCTAAAGGATTTTCTTTTATTTAGCATACAGCTGTGCTATCCCATGTCTCTTGTCACATAGTAAAGTATTAATAATTAACTTGTGATATGACGTATAACTGATTTGAGCTATAAGACCATAAGTCAAATATTCGCAGCAGTCAAGACACTTAAGCAGAAGAGGGAGTGATTTGTTGATAAATTGTCAAAACACAACCAACGTAAATTGTCTGTTTCTTCCTCCGAAAGATGACAATTAACAGGCATTTATCGATTATGTGAATTTGAGTCTTGGTTGCGTGCAGTTATTTGCCTGCTTTCAGGCTATGAAATGAAGAAGAAATAGAATAAAAGGTGTGTGTAAGCTGATAGTTTTTTCACATTTGAAAATATACTAAGACCAGTAAGAGACATCGTAAGAGCCCGTTTTTAACCATATAGTTAACAGTCTATTCATGTGTTATTAAATGTCAGTCATATTTGATCTAGGTTTCATTATTATTTAAAGGTAAATGAAGCAAAGTGGAGCATAACTGAATTTCGGATAAACATGCAAAAGAAAATGCAAGAAAAAACATTTTTTAGCTGATACAAGTCGTTGTCAGCCTTATGGCAACAAATCTTACGAGGGGACCTTCTCAGATAATAAGACAAAGGTTTATCTTGAAGATTTATCGCTATCCATTGTCATAAAGACTGTGGCTGCCACGATTTTATCTCTCATCGTAACTAGGTACGATTAAAAAAAATCTACATCCACTATCAGGAGTAGATGTTCCGAGTCCTTGGTAATTCCTATATTGTACAAGCATTGTTAAACACCTCTTTATTTTCATGTAAAAATCCTAAAACTTCATCAATTTTCTACTTGATCTGAGGAGTTTTAGCGATTATAACTAACAGTAAAAACGCTTTCTGGATTTCTGAAATATTGAAGAAAATTTAGAAAGATTTTAACTAAAGATGGAAAAAGAAAAAATTCCTTATTTTTGAAATGTCTTTTGACTTAAGCCAAAGATCAGAAATACATCTTAGGAAAATATACTTTTTTAGGTAATAAAGCTTACATTTATTAATAAGAACGAAATATTTTTGAGAGTTAAAACCTAGTTATATGTTTTTCCATCTCTAATAAAAATATTCATTCCCTTTTGTTAAGTCCTTCTGGTCGAAAAAAAAAGTAGTTATTTTATCAAAAAACCAGCTTCGCACAGCAGTAAATCATTCCAAGAGTTGGAAGATGAGAAAGCACTCCAGTTTATCTGATCGTGTTCTTGAAAGATTTTATCACCTATATACGATTGTATGACATGTAGAAAAATATTCAACCAAGTCAAGAAAGATAGGCATTTTATTTTAACTGTCGAAAAGGAGAGTGTTCTTAGATCTTGGATTAAGGCAAAGATAAATGATTATAAAACTTTATGGATATTGCGTAGGTCGAAACGAGAGAAATAATATGTTTGTGCCTTTTTACTCTTTCATTCTCGTAGCATTTCGAAAAGTTTCCGGAGGCTTTCAACACGTTTGTATATGAAGTAATTAACCTCTTCAAATTGATTCAATAGAAAATATACATGCATTCTATTTTTTTATTTTTGAATTTCAAAGTCGAGATATAATGTCGGTCTGTAAGGTGCATAATTTTTTGTATTTCTTTTTCTATTCTTCGATGTTCACCCGAAAGTTTGTTCACATTCAAATCAGTGTGAAGTATTAATTAAATATGTGTGTACGCTCGGAAAAATCGCTGAATAATTGAAAAAATTACCCATTTGTTTTGTTTTTTTATGTTTAGGTGCTATTATTTTCAAAATACAACATTCTAAATGTTCATATTTTTTAGCATTGAGCTGCTTAGGATAAAAGAAAAAAAATATATTTGTTATTTAAACGAATAGAAAGAAAGAGAAATTCTTTTAATATACATACAATATAGAAAAAATATGTTTCTAATCTTTCGTATTACAAATAAAGATATATTGAGAGCTTTTACTAAACCTGTTAGTCACAGTATTATTCACATACCATATTATATTTAGAAGTCAAACACTAGAGACGTTTGATGGCAAAACAATGAACACATAAATCGACACGATTATAAATTCTATTATTTGAACTGGATGTAGTTTTCTTTTTTGAAAGTTTCACACTGATACTTCTTTTTCTTTTTTTTTCTGTTGATCTTCTATTCTTTCTAATGATCTCTTGTTCTTGATGATGATGATGACTCTACTACCATGGTGGTAATGTATGCTGTATTTTTCTTATCGGATATCAGCATGATTACTAACAATCAGTCTTCAGTATTTTCCTCTGCTATTTTGCAAAATACAATAAATAAAATGGATATGAATATAATGATGAGCACAGTAGAACATCATATCACTGAAATAGTACTAATGATAAAATGAAACTATCCGGGAAAACTCATCAAACATGATCCACTGTGAAAATATATTCTACAAAAATTTACCATGAAAAATTCTCGTAAATACGCTTGATTTTCTCTTTGCGGCAGGCATATATTTCTGATGTTTCTCATTAAAAATGATTTTGACTCCTCTGCTGTGCACATCTTAAATGTTTAACATCAGAAACAAAGAACAAAACAAAATAAAAATGATGTTATTGAATACTTCAGGGAGCTCCGGAATAGATCTCTCTGATAGATATATAACGCGATGAAATGTACTTTGTTTTTCATTAAATACTTTCATCTTCTTTTTAATTTTTATAAGCATACACGACAAATGACGTGTTGTTTTTTTTAGAAGAAATAAGAAGAAGAAGAAGAGGAACAAATAAAGAACGAACATTGAGGTTATATCGATAAGTATATTATCAAGAAAATTTTTAATTTTGTACGATATTTATCTTTACAAGTATGAATGAAACGAATTGTTCAATAATAAGATTTAATAAACCTCAAATTAGTCAATTTCATCGATGGATAGCTGTATCGTATACTTTGTTATTTATCGTATCATTTACAGCGAATTTACGGGTACTGTTTAAATTATGTCATTATACTCGACGACGATTTCGTGATCATATTTTATTGTTAAATTTATGTGCTGCAGATTTATTTGTTACAATGACATATATGCCAAGTGAAATTTATACATATACTATTGGGAACTTTTACAACGATGCTATATGCAAATTAATGGCTGTGATGAAAGCACTCGGAATTTATGTATCGAGTTGTATGATTATAGGTATTAGTTTCGACCGTTATCTATCAATTGTACATCCACTTAGTTTCTACGGATCGAATAAACGAAATAAAATTATTGTCATATTATCGTGGGTTGTTAGCATTATAGCATGCGTACCACAAGTAGGTTTACTGCACTTTTGTTTTCACACATAATGCTGTATCTAAGATGACAATTCTGGCAACTTGAGTGTGTTTATTGTGTTGTTATTCTAGGCTATTGTCTTCAAACGTCTTACAAATGATGCTTTATGTAGTGAGATGTGTGGTGACACATTATCGGATAGTCCTGTAAAACGAATTGCTTATAATGTAGCTGTTACCATTTTTGCTTATATAGCACCATTATTAACAATACTCTATTCTTATTTTCGAATACTACATGTCCTACATAAACGTTGTAATCAACAAACATTTCAATTTTCCAACGATCATCGTCATCGTCATGATTCAGAAAAAACACCTTCATTAATCCAACAAGATATTAATACGGTTAATGTTAAAACAATGACACGAGCCAAACTAAAAACATTAAAATTAACAGCAGTTATTGGTAAGTAAAACATATTAGCCATTAGAATGATACAGCCTACTAACCATAATAAAACTCAACTGTAAAATGAAGTTATTTTCGTTATATCAAATTGTTACTTTTTTCTTGTTATAGTCATAGCATTCATAGTGTGTTGGACACCGTATTATTTGGTTGTATTTTACTTATTGATTACGGATGCACAGATAAAGGAAACGACACCACCTGTCGATATTCAACAACCATCTAATGATGAACGATCATTATTGATCGTCATGATGTTAGCCGTATCAAATAGTGTCTTAGACCCAATTATTTATGGTAAGTAGAAGTATTACTTTATTGATGGCGGCGGTCAAAAACTCTGGAAAAAAATATATTTTCCGCCTTTAGCGGCGGAGGTGTGAAAATTTTTAAGAAGAGTTATTATACTAGGAAAAAATATTCTTCTCTGAAAGATCTCAAAATGTGCTATGGTAAGGTAGGAAATTTTCAATACCGAATGTTTAATTCACGAGGTAAAGTAAAGTAATTTCCATAACGACTGATCACCATACTGATGAGGTAAAGGAGTGGGCTTTTGCACGATGGTAAAAAGAAGAACGGAACAGCATTCATCAATGCTCCATATAATATATTTTTAGAGGTAAATATCAATATAATTTTTATTTGCCTTTTGTACATTACGCTAGTTGATAGCACAGAATAGTTCTAAGTTTCATTAATTCTTTTTCAAAGGCTTTTGAAAAAGTTTTAAGAAAATTATTTTTCGGCGGCGGCGTCAGTAGCACGGGTAACACTTCTAATGGTAAGTGTTGTATTATAATATATGAAAAAAAAATGAAGAATGAGATAGAAATCACTTGTATCTAAAATCAATGAACCTTTCTTATCAAACTGAGTCAATTTTCTACTGGTGTACCTGAGACGATTGCATAACTCTACGAAAAGTGATTATTACTGTACTTAATCTAGTGATGATAAAAAAGACATATCACCGAAAAAAAAATAAAGTTGGTTTAGAGTTGCTGAGAAGTGTTTTTTCGTATTCAGCACACTCGATAACCCAGAAGATTTTCTGTTTTTGGCCTGAGGTACTTCCGAAAGTTTAGGAAAAGTTTTCAAATTAATATTATTTTTCCATGGAAAACTTTTTGCGCCATTTTGTTTCAAAATTTTTTTCTTA